CAAAATTATCTTGAAAGTATAATTGTCATATAAATATTAAGATGTGTGCATCTATTTTTATTGTGAAGTATATCCACTAGTACACCTATAAGGGCTATGATTGCATTATAATGTAATTCAAAAACTAACAAGATGAAATCAAATAATAATTAGATGCAAGATACATAAGAGCTTCTAAGGCTGTTTGGAGATTTTTTGGCATATAGATCCATGAAGAAATCCCAAATGTTATTTGTTTGGCCATTCATCTTCTAAGAATGCATCAAGTAGTATATGTTTCAAATGATGATGCAACTGTAATTTTAGAACTTAAAAATATATTTTTTTAAATCAAATTTTTTGAAATATGCTTTAGTATTTTATGTTTATATTATAGAAGTTTATTTTTCTTTATTTGAATATAGAAACTAAAATTAATAATAATAGTTCTTAAATATAGATATATATTTATTAAAATAATAACATAAATAATTCTAATTTTATTTCAATTATATTATCTTTCTAATCAAATGGTTTTTAAAAATTTTGATAAATTTGTTTTTCTTTATAAATAAATCATATTATGAATCCACATATAAGTTTAACATAAATCATCCACTAGATATATATATATATATATATATATAATTTTCTATTATTATAATTTATTAATTTAGATAATTTTACTAAGAATTAGAATTTAAAATACTTCTATTAAAAACAAGATTTTTTTAATTTAATATACTATAAGATGATTTTTATTAAACTATGATATATTTAGTAATCTATAATAAAAATAATATAATATAATATTTAGACCACAATTTTTTTATATAGGAAAACCAAAATAAGATTATACAATTGACTTAAAGTTTTTTATTCTATTTATTTAATTAGATAATTATATTTAATAAATTTATTTTTAATAGAATTTTTAAAAGAATATTAATTTGAACTATCTTCATCTAAAACAATACTGATAAAATATATTGCAATTAATTTTTTTAAGATATTGATTTTTTCATAAAACTTATTGATTTATTATACTATTATAAATAGAATATCATGATGTTTAAATTAGAATGTCATTATAATTAAGTGTAATAATCTTTAATGTTAAAAAATTATTTTTTGTGACTAAAAAAGATAATATTTTAGTATTATATACTTCTGGAAACATAATAATTTAACTTTTAAATATTATTTTTAACTATTAAAAAATACTCAGATTAATATAACATTGATTTTTTTCTTTAAAAATATAATTTAAAATTATTTACATCAATTCCATTGTCAAATAAAATTCTCCGCTTATTGGATCTAATGTAAGATTTTATTACTACTAAAAGTTGCAAGCTTTAATATCATGCAATGGCACTAAAAACAAATTCTTTCTACCTTCTCAACAACACAAGTCTTTTAATTTTTTTTACTAGATAATTTGCTAATTTATATTCTTTACAATGCATATCTCAAATCATATTATTTAATCTTTTATGTAAAATCTGATCATTAACTTTAACTTTTTCAATTTTAGCAACGGTAAAAATAATATATGTACTAACTTCAAAGTTAGTTGAATAATATATTGAACAAATGATGTATGCTACAGCATAACAATACTTTAAACCTAAACTTAATTCTAAAAGTACTTCTTTGTTTTTCAACTAAAAGATGGCTGCATGACACTAATTATTTCTTCCACAATATCTTACAAATGCATAAACTTTCCTCATTATAAAATAGAATTAAAAATAAATAAAATCTTCCGTTTTGCATAATTATTACTATTGGTCATTAAATTTTGAAATATTTATATAACATATAAAACATCTTTGCAAAGTTCTATACATTGATTTCTTTTTAATATGTTTTTAATTTTCAATAAGACCTCCATATTGTTGATGTAGATTTGATCCAAAATATGTTTGATATATCAAACATTTTTAGTTTGTGATGCTACTTCAATACCTTAAATAAGATTGTTGCATCACAGCAATGTATAAAATCTATTTGTTCCATAACCAACCAAAGTCCACCAAATTATTGATATGTATTTTATGAATAATTCCATAAGATTGACCATGATGGATTCTTTAAAAGTATCTAAAGTTTATTTTGCAGTTCAACATATAATATATTATCACAATAACACTCTGTATCCTTCCAATATTGACAAATTATAAAACCTGAGCAATCAAACTGAAACAATATCAGTACAATTTGAAACCACTAAAAACATCATAATTACCATTCTACTTTATGAACTCAGTTTTTTTCTTTTTATAATACCAAAACTATATAATCAACAATACATCATATTTTTATTATTGATAATAGTAATGATTCATATTTAAGATAATTGCCTAATTTCATTCAAATTAACATTAGCAGTATTCTGATTTTATCTAAAATATTAGAAATATTATCATTCTAACTAGATGAAAGTTATTCTATTAAATAACAGTATTTTTACTTCCCTCTTATAACAATATAAAATAATAAAAACACATAGCATTAATATTTAAAAAGTCACTCAATCATAATTATTACTTCAAGGATTTTTATTTGGCACATTTGTTTCTAACCATATCTACAACATATTTTAATACAAGCATTTGCTCATGATTCTTGAGAAATATATATATATATATATATATATATATAATTTTATAATTTGAGTTCCAATTTATAGTTCTGCACATTTCAAAATACAAAATAATGCAACATTTGTTTCTTGAAAGAAAGAAAGAAACAAACAAACAAACAAACAAACAAACAAAAAAGAAGAAGAAGAAGAAGTGCAATATGCAATTTCTTTTAAGAAGAAGGTTTGTCCACACTACTATAATGACTTAGTCTAGTTTTGCTTTAACTTGATACATCTTTATTCTATCAAAATTAAAATATGATAGATTTATTATTCTTCAACAACAATGAAAAATCTTAAATCATGGAGATTACAACTTTACCACCTCTTTTAGTTCAATCTTTAATTTAAACCTTCCACAATGCTTAAATGATAAGCTTCAGCACAATCTTGACAATTCAAACAAAACCAAAAATAAAAAAATCATAAGTCAAAGCTAACAATGTATATAAATAAATACATGATGCTCAAACAATGAAAGAATTCCAATCTATAATATAACAACCATCTTATGTAATATGTATATTTTTACCAAAAGATGCAACCCCAAGTTATAACAATCTACATATTCACTATCTACAACCTTCTAAACATCACCATCCAAACCGAAAGATTGTCCCATTGAAAGACCTTAAAGAAAACCCTATCCAAGATTCATTACTAAAGCAAGTGTATCCAACTTAAGAAGCTTAATGCTCATGTTGAAAATTTACTAACGAAGAAAATCAAAAGAATAATGAAAACACAAAAAAACAAAGAAGGGAAGAAAAAAAGAACAAAGAGTGGAAAAAAATCCACCATGTAAATGAAAACGCTTTATGCAAACAAAAACACTTGCTAATAAATGTTCTTGTCTTGTTCTATCTAACAACAAGTCACCAAACCACAATTTGTGCAAGAGTAGACAAATATCTTTTATGAGCATGATGAACAATTGGTGATAATTGTGCATGTAAAGACTAGCAACACAATTGTGCGCTATTGTAACGTAAAATGGTATAACATATAAAAATTAGCTTAGAGCCATAAAATAAATTAGTCTCTTGATATATATTTTATTTATTAGATAAAACGTTTATTTACATCTTGATTTTATTATTAATATATATATATATATATATATATATACATATATTATGACATACCTAAAAAGACAGTATTTATTAAAATTATTCTGAAACTTTGTTAAATAATGGTGTTTGAGAAATAAATATTCTATCTTTTCATAGATATTATTCGTGAGATTGATTAGTTGTTTTGTAACGTTAAGTATATATATATATATATATATATATATATATTCAACTGAATATTATTAATGTACTGGTGATGCTTATTGAGCAATATGATAAACCATGTCCTACAATTTTTTTAATTCACTAAGGTCGCTATTTTTATTTTTAAAATATAAGTATATCAAAAAACTGATAGCACTTTGAATTGTTTCTTTCATTTTTTTACTTATTTTTTCTCTAAACCACTTAACAATTCAGAATCAACAATTACATATTAATTTGTGACTTAACTCAAGTATGTAATGGAGGTGATTTGTTCTAAAAACCTAAAGCAAGAAAAATACACCATACAAATCTGGTCAATAAATGCATGATCACCACACCAAAAATACAAGACCAATTACAAAGACTTTCAAATATCTAAGGATGTTTTTTTTCTAATCAATCAAAACGAACTAAGTCACAAACATCACCTGAAATAAGATATAACAAGCAAAATCAACACTGCACTGTAAAATAAATAAATAAATATACATACATACATACATACATACATGTGCAAAAACAAAACAAAACAAAAACCTATAAATGAAGCATGTTCCACAACCTTAAAACCAAACATATATTTCAAACATATTCTCAAGCGAACAAACCCTGCACCCAAAAAGAGGTCCAACCAAACAAACAACTAACTAACTATCTATATACACATATATTAATATACTCACACACACAAATAAATAAATAAATAAATAAAACAACAACACAAGCAGCACCTGGTTGAAACCCAAAAACAAGTCACTCATCCCACAGTCAAATAGAAACTTCGAAGATCGTTCTCTGAGACATTTCTAAAAACTGACCACCTCAACGGAATTCAAGGCCATGTTTGGAGAAACGCCGAAGACTCTGACACGGTGGTGCCAGATGTGAAGAAAGCTTGAAACATGGTGGCATATATCAGCATAACAGATCTCAAAATCATACACACATTTCTATACATATATATATATATATATATATATATACATATGCATATGAGAAAATCGAAAAAGAAAAAAACAACAGCAGTGAAACCCACATCACCAGGGAGATAGATAGATAGATAGACATCCAGCGTGCGGCGTCAACTTTGAGGGCACCCAATCTCCACCTGGGCGCTGTGAATCCGCAATCATTCATCAGTTGAGCGAGTCAGTTAGTCAGTCGTTGCTTTTGCTCTTGGAATTATATGCCAAGCTGCTGCTGCTGCCGATGCCCACTCCCGTAGTGGCATCACCGACCTCTCTGATGCTGTTGCTGCTCTTCTTCTCAGGTGGGTTTTCCTCAGAGTGTGATGTTTGTGATCACATCTCAGTGCATTGGGACCCATCTCTTCGAACTTTGAGCTTGTGCTGCGTCGGTGTGGAAAGTTCGTGAGTCTGTGAGGGGGGTATTTTCAGTCCATTTTTGGACGCCGTGAAGGGTAGTTTCAGCCTCATGGCGAGGACTCGGGGCTGTTGTTGTTGTCGAGGTGACGTTGACTTGTGCTTTTGCAGGTGATCTTCAAAGCTTTTTGCCTGTGGTGAGGTGCGTGATTAGGAACCCTAAGTCGTGGTGGAGAGTTTGGTGTCCACGGATCGCGGGTTGGATGATGTGTGATAGAATGTGTGTGGGTTGTGTTCTGATTGGCTGCGTGAGGGGTAGCTTGGATTGGGTGGATTCGTGGGTAGTTTGTTGGGGTGTATGTTTCTTTTTGGGCTGGAGTGTTGGAGTAGGAGGAGGATCTGTGGGTTTTGCAGGTAATGTGGGTCGTATGGGTTCCGCTGGTTTTAATTTGGTCGTCGACAATGGGTCTGTCGAGATGTGTGTGTGTGTGTGACACTGAAGTGCATTTTTTATTTTTATTTTTATTTTTCTGTGGCGTGGTTTGAGAGTGACTCCGAGGGACATCAAGCTCCTGGGTTGTTTCTTGACTCTGGTCATTTCGGTTGCAGATTGTGGACTTGAAGTTGTTATTTCTTTGCTGTTTGGAGGGAATGGGCGTTGCGAATGTTCAGGGGGTTGTGAATTGCTGTCTTTTTTTTCTCTGACTTCATGGTATGTTGGTCCCGGAGGTTCATTCTTGCTACCCATTTCTGGCCATTCTCTTTGTCACGAACATAAGAAATTAGTAGGGTACAGGAAGTGCTCATAGCTGCCTTCATGGGTGAGGCAATGCATTTTTGTGGTAGATGACTGTTGCGTACTTGCACAGATTTGGCTTCACTCACACAAACTTACTCTGGCAGAAGCCATCTTTGTAAGGCTATTCTGACATGGTGGCTTTTGTCTTCTGACATCAATAAGGTGGATCACGTTGCGCGGGGAATAAGTCGTAAGCTGCCGAAAAGATAGGAGTGGCAAGTGTAAAGTTGAGGTGAATCAAGCGTGCTGCTTACCGTGTAGGTGGATAAACTGGGGGATCCAGCATGTATTTCAATCGTTGGACCCATAGTAAGCTACGAGGGTGAATCACCTGGATTGGCGTGGTAACATTGAGAAGAGTAAATTTCGTGACGTCGGAATATGGGTACCACTGAGTATGAGAAGAAGGAGAAACCGTTGGGACAGCAATGGACGTTACTAGATATTGTCAGCTTCGCAATGATGGCCTCGTTGATTCTTCTTTTCCTTCTCATCTTCACATCCCTTGGAGACTCCTTAGCCGCTGGGGGGCAGCAATATCTGGATGCCGCATTACGAGCTGACCCTACCAGCTCTGGTGAGCTTTGTTTAAACCCGAGCTTTATTTCCCGAATTCATCCGTCTCGGACAAGATATTAGAATCAAAGCTCATTAGAGTATCTGCATTGGCGAAAGCTCTTTTTCCTGACACACAACCAGCAATTCCTAGCTTTCTGGTGACGCATCAAGACATCTGGTTGTGGTGGAAAACATTTTGGGATGTCAGCATTTCCACGGAATCTTCAATGTTTTAATCGCAAATTCATCCATTCAGAGTAGTCTAGGTCCATGTGAGATCGAAAGCGTAGTCAGTATGCTATTTAAGATTCACCACTCTCTAACGTGGATTGTTATCACCACCACACGTACATTACATATCCATCATGAGATGGGCTACGCAAACGTTTACCAGATGAAATCACTTGCTTCGGTTGTTTTGGCGTTTCAGAAATTTAAAACGTAGTAACCAATTCCCTTGACTGATGTTTTACATTCAGGTTTTTGGCAGCAGGTGGAAACCGGTCTTTTAGTTGAATCCTGTCCCGTTCGACTTGCCGATATCATGCCCTGTCATGACCCTAAGCGAGCAAGAGCTTTCACAAAGGAGCGTAACCATTATAGGGAGCGCCACTGTCCTCCTGCTGAAGAAAGATTGAGATGCCTTATCCCTCCTCCCCCTGACTACCAAATCCCTGTCAGATGGCCGGAAAGTCTACATAGAGTAAGGTTCTAGTTCATCTTGTGATTAATTTGTGCATTGATGCATCTGCTGAACTCAGGGCTATCGGTGTGTCTTCTTAGTTCAGACAAGAGCGTTTTATGAAGTATCGGTGCAGATTGCAGCAACTGAAAGAATTGTCCTCTGTTGGTTTTTTGTCAGATCTGGTTCAATAATACGCCACACAACAAGATAGCGGAGCTTAAATCAGATCAAGGCTGGATGATACAAGAGGGTGATTATTTCGTGTTTCCAGGTGGTGGGACCATGTTTCCAGAAGGAGCGGAAGGTTACGTGCAGAAGCTGGAAAAGCACATTCCTTTTGGGACTAGTGCCATTCGCACTGCGTTGGATCTAGGCTGCGGGGTATGGTCTTTTTATCATCTCTCTCTTTTTCACGTTTGACACAACTTTAAAAAGATAGCATAATTAACTCGGGCCGTCAATGTTGCTACACCGAAAAATGTACAAGTAACCACGGTTGGTTGCGAACATTGCATCTTAGTCCTTAACGTGCTAGGTTCTGCTTGGTCTCGTGTGACTCGATATCTACGCAGTAATCTTGTGTGCAGTTATGAAGCTGATTGCTCATGTGTACTAGTTAGCAGTTCCCTTCCTGAAGCACTAAATCGTGTGTGCAGTACCACTAGTTCGGAAACATCTTCTGTTATTCGGTTGTACTTTCTTCACTTCATTCATAAAACAAGGTTGTCAATATGCAGGTGGCTAGCTTTGGAGCTTATTTGCTTGATAAGGAGGTTCTTACAATGTCGGTTGCTCCACGTGATTCATATAAAGCGCAAATTCAGTTTGCTCTAGAAAGAGGCTTACCAGCATTCGTTGGCATGCTCGGGACACAACGTCTTCCCTTTCCTGCCTCATCATTTGACCTTATCCACTGCTCGCGTTGCCGAATTTCATTTTCTTCCTTCAGTATGTCTCCCTGTCTTACCTTTTGTTTTGCATGTGTGGCATTTTCAACGTTTACTCAATTTATCCCCAAGTCAATTACAACCTTGTGCTTGTGATTGTTTTGTCTATTTTTGGTGCCATCATTCTTTTATTTGAAAGAAATTCTTGTTATAATTGTCCAAATCATGTGAAGAGCAGCCTCAGCTGACTGATATGTTTGCTCCTACCAGAACTTTATAGATGGGTGTTTTGATATGTTAGAATTACTGCAGATTACTAACAAACAAATTTGGGCAGATGGTTCTTACTTTATTGAGATGGATCGGCTATTGCGACCTGGTGGATATTTTGTATTATCAGGCCCTCCAGTCAATTTTGATGGCAAAGAGAAAGAGTTTGAGGCTCTGCAGGAACTTATAACTGAAGACATGTGTTATGTAAAGGTCACTACTGAAGATAAAACAGCTGTTTGGGTCAAACCCACGAATTCCTCATGTTATCGTTCTCGTCAAAAACCGACTCCTGCATTTTGCAAAGATGACGATCCTAACAATGCATGGTAATTTGGATTACCTGTGTTCTTAGATGAATTTCTGCTTTGCACTTTCTGCAAGGGCATCTTTCTTTTGCTGTTTTATCTTGTATGATTGTGCCTTCAATAAACCGGCCCTTGTGACATTTATGCTTAATAGGAACGTTCAACTGGGCGATTGTATTACCCCAGTGCTTGAGACTCAGACTGATGAGGTACCGCACCAGTTAAGTTGGCGAAAACGCCTAGAAACTGTTTCTACACTTTCAGAATTGCCAGATGGTGATAGGTTTGTGTTTGATAAGGACACAAGGAGATGGCGTCGTCGAGTCAGATACTACAGAGAGGTTTGTATTGGGCATGCCTTGATCTAAGTTAACTGGAAGGAATTGTTCATTGTGGCGTCTTTGTTCAGAATAGCCAGTGTATTGCCTCGTTATTGACGAATTTACTAAAATTCTTGTGTATAACGTTATTGGACTAAATCATGTTGTTTCGGTTGTTTGGTTACTTAAAAATTACCCAGTATTTGTTTGACTTCGAGGTGTAGGGTGCTGTCCGGTCCGCCTAAAGCTGTGCTATTGGTGATTTTCGTCTTAGGTGATAGAGCACTGCTGCATTTTCCTTTTCAAGGCCAAAGTCGGGAGGCTTGTAATTGTAGAAAGTTGAAACATCACATTGCTCTAATAACTGGGATACCTACATTAGCTCTAGCTTCATTTCAATTCGAAGTTAGGGTGTCACCTTGCGCAAGCACTTAAATCTGATAGAGCTCTTACTCGATTTCATTGGCGTGCTGAAAAGTGCAGACTTTAAAGCTGAAGTTGGGGACTTCACAATATCGCAATGTGATGGACATGAATGCAGTCTACGGAGGCTTTGCAGCCAATCTGATGGCCAACAACGACCCTGTATGGGTGATGAATGTAGTGCCAGTGCCTGGACCAAATACTTTGGGCACTATCTATGATCGAGGGCTTCTTGGAGTCTTTCATGACTGGCAAGTTTTAACCTCTTTATTTTGCTTTCTCATTCGTAGTAGGATGGAATTTATGTTTATTGCATGTAATACGGGCTGAAGCACTAGGGACAAAAAAGTGGTGTGTTTTTATTATATCGTTGGATCCCAATCTACGCACGTTGATTGCTCTGCAATATTTATGACGGAGACAAATTAGAGTTAGTGCAAACTTCCAGAAGATGATTCGAGGCCATGAAGGGAATAAGGCTTAATCGATTCTGAAGTGAGCTACACCGATAATGGTTAGGAGGTCTCGGATTGGATAACTTTGTCCATCATAGAAGTAGATCTCGGTGGATTACTATTTTCAGAGGTTGCTAAACAAACTGCTTGGGGGTGGGGGCCAGGTGTGAAGCGTTCTCGACATATCCACGAACTTATGACTTATTGCACGTATCTTCCGTAGAGGCGCTCACAACCTCGCAAAATAGGTATCTTAGTGTTCCTAGTTTGTTCTTTTGTTTTTTTGTTTTTTTTTTGTTTTTTTCAATAATTTTTTTCAACACTGTTTCCCTCATTAAAAGACTGATTGCCTTTGTCCCATGGATAAAGACAGAGCCCGAAGTGTTGTTTTAGGTTGAGTTAACTCCTTAAGTAAGTTGCTGGAATTAAACGTTGGATTCTGGACACATGAATGCCTATGTCAATGATGTAGTTTGAAGTGTATGAATGCTTACCACTACCCTTAAAATTTTCAGATGCAGTTTAGCAGAAATTATGGTCGAAATGGACCGGATCTTGAGACCAAAAGGAACAGTCATAATACGGGACACTCCCGCTATGCTCGCCCGAGTTTCCAAAGTTGCTAATGGCATACAATGGAATTATGAGATTTTCGACGGCGAACCGGGAGCAACAGACCGCATTTTGATTGCAACTAAACAGTTTTGGAAGGCTGAGATCGCGGAGCCACAATAATACAAATAATGAAGTCAACCGAATTTTGGGGGTTTTGACTTTTGTAATTGTTTTGATCAAATTATTCCTTTTCTAGTTGGCGTCAAGATTGTATACCTTTTCTTCTTTAGAACTCGGTTGCTTGGATTTGATTAACATTTCTGTTGAAGTGAATGTGTGTTCTGCACTTCTTCTATCTAGAAACTTCAGGTTTATGGCAGGTCTACACGTTATTTACCTCTAGTTTCACAACTGACGGGATATGTCCACCCGGACAGCACAGTGCCACTTGTCAAAGGCGAGGTTTCTTCACAGAAAGAGTAGGTAGTTGAATGTTGGATTAATCAGTCAATTAGTTGAGATTCTGTCAAGGTTCATGTGAATGCGTCATTAAACCAAGGACCATGCCATGGAAGGGCATAGGTCATTGCGAAGTTGTGTGTATGAAGAGGATGTCCATGTAATAAAAATGGGTGTTTATATAGTAAAAAGAGTTTTCACCTTTGAATTTGAATTTTTTATTTTTTAATTTTTAAATTGATCCAATTATCTATTATAATGTTTTTATTTAAAAAAAAATAATTTTAAAATGAATTTGTATTGTATACAATTGTGTCACTTTTGCACCTTTTAAATCATGTATGTAATAAAGATATCAATTTTAGAAAAAAATATATCATTAAAAAATTTCATTAAAAATTTATCAAGAGGTTTTTTCTAATCTTTTTGATTTTTTAAAGATTTATCAAATTTTATTGAGATCTATTGAGTAATCAATCTCATATCCTTTAGTAAAAATATTGAGTAACTTTAAGTACATGTGAGTCTTGCTGTTATAAGGCTTCAAATGGTCAAATGACATTGCCTCTTATTCCCAAATTTTGTGGTCTGTTCATCTACAAAATGTATGACAATCTTTAGATGATGTTCTCAAGATGATGTCACAACAATTATTAGTAAGGTGTTTTGAGGCATTTACTTCAACACTCCTTGAACTGCAATTCTTTTACTATATTTGGCAGTAATGGATCCATTGTAGAAGGAGCTTGATGAAATATATGATATAAAAAATTGCTTGACATCTTTCTTCAAATTTTGTTGAAATCTATTGGTAATATTGTACTACTATTATTGTAGTGGGAAGTGGTTTTTCTAGGCTTGTGGTTGATTGTAGAGGTATTCCACAAGTTCTATTCAAACTTTTTTTCTTTGGTTGTCAATTAAATGGAGTATTTACTCTAGTCTTCAAGAAGTGGTAGAGTTGTGCAAGAAGTTCCTTCTAAGATAGTATAGCATCAATTAGACTTTGATACAAAGGAATTTGCTTCTACTAGAGTAGGGTTTGATAAATTTTATGTAGTTTGAATTTGGATTTGTTTAGAATTTATGAATCATGGAGCAAGTGCCAAGTACATGTAGATGGATTCAAAAGAGCTAAGTTTAAATGCTTTAAGAATTGTGAATTTGCTGAGAATTATTTGAAGTAAAGAATGTAGATTATAGTCGATGCAAAGTTTGGTTTTAGTAGGATGCCTATTGCTACTTATAGGCAACAACACGTAAATATTTCTAAAGGTTTGGTTAGAATATTGACTTGTTCTTTAGACATGGATACATAGTAAATTAATATGTCCATGAAAATAATTCTTTTTTAATAAAGTAAGATTGAATTTCTATATACTTGATTCAAGAGTGTAATATTGGATTGTCTATAATTTTGATATAACTTTGGTTGTTGTTGAGGATTAGAGATGGGTCAATACTATGGATTTGTAATTCTTGGAACATCCATCAAAGATGTATGGCACCTTTTGCGACTTTTAAAAACACTTGATTTTCAATATAGTATTTAAGACTACTATTATTTTTCTCTTACTAGATTATTCAATTGATGCCTCACTAATCTTATGCATTAGCTAAGAAATGGACCATCTAGTATTTAGATTTCTATCATAGTTGGCATCTACATAGCTCATTAGCATGAGCTTATTTATTTGTAGAAAGAATATTTTAATATTATCAATCAATTTGATGTATCTTAGTATTCATTTTGGAGCAATTATATATATATTGGCTGTTATTGATTGAATAATATAGGTTGTAGTTGGTTTAATTCTTAGTAAGTCCTTTGTTTATGAGGTAGGTATCTATTTGTTAATACTATGCTTGTGGTACTTGTTTAAGTATATATAGAATTCAAATCAACTTAAATACTTTTTCTTCTTACATTGAAATTTGAAAACTTGATGGTGTATACATGTAGATCTTCTCATTTAGTGTGTCATTTAAAAAGGCATTTTTTACATTTAGTTGTAGGCTCCAATCTTTTTAAGCTATAAGTGCGAATATTGATTTGATGGTGCTCCATTGGACAACTGGGACATAAGTATCAAAATAATTAATTTCTTATATTTATTTAAACTTCTTAGCAACTAGTCTTGTCTTTAATTTATATGATTTGCTATTATTTTATTTTTTATATTAAAAATCCACTTTGAAATGATCATTTGTTTTCTTTTTGATAAATCCACAAACTGCCAAATATCATTTTTGAAATTAAATTGATTTTATCTTATATAATTTTCTTCCATCTCTCATATTTGATTGCTTATTTATAACATTATAATTCAATTGTATGTTCTACATGAAATATGAAATAATCTTTGAATCTATTTCTTAGCCTTTTGTCTCTAGCAAGGTATCTTTAGAATACAATACTATCTATTGTTTTTATGCTGTTGTGAATTTTTATCTTAGTATTGGACTCTATTGCAATATCTAGTTCTTGATTGTGCTTAATTTTTGGTGTGTCCAATTATATGGACTATTGATAATTTGAGTTGATTTCATTAGTCTCATTGTTTTTTGTAGTTTGAAAAATTATGTCATCTTGGCCTACATTAAATCAAGTTGTAAGATGCTAAAAGCCAACTTTGATTTTTTTGCATATCACATTTCTAAAGATCACTATTTTTTGAGTTAGTGGATCAAATAACTTGTATGCTTTTGTTTGTTCATCAAAATCTAAAAGTATGCACTTTATTTTTTATTTTAATTTTTCTTATTGGATTTTTGGTATGTGAATAAAAGCTATGAATTCAAAGATTTTCAGAAAACTTACATCAAGTTTATTATTGTAGTATCTTTCATGTAAAGTGATTCCATGGTTTTGTCATAGAAATATATCTTTTGTAATTGTTATCTAAGTAATATAAATAGATAGAAGTAGGTAAAAATAGATTAATTTCATAATGCCTTCTAGAGAGGCTTCTTAGAAGCTTTCTAGACATTGTTTTGACTTTATACGTGTTTGTAGTCGATTGATAGGTGTGAGATCAAATTTCACTATTTGATGAAATTGATGCCACACAACAAGTTCAAAAGGTGGAATAGAAAAAAATCCCAATTGTATAATTGTTAAGTTGATTTAAATCTTAGTATTAACAATTCAATTAACTTTAAGCCTTCCAAGCAATGGTTATCAATATAAATAAATAAAAAGATTTAATGACATTATTATGGTGTTCAAGGCTATTTGCATGAGCTTTACTTAAATCTCAATGGATTGTTCAAAATAATTTTTATAATCCTTAATTATTAATTTTTATGTGATTATAAAATTATAATTAATTAAAATAAATAAATAAATAATTAATTGGAACATATAAATTATTATCCCTTAAATAACTGATGGTAAAAGTATTTGATCAAATTATTATCATTAATTCATAATAAAAGTAAAAGTTAAATTTAAAAATTTAAAAATAAAAGTTAAAGTAAAAGAAAAAAGAAGATTTAAGGTTAACATTTAAAATTTAAAATTTAAATTTAAAATTTGAAATATGAAAGTTTTGAATTACTATAAAAATAAAAGTAAAAGTGTGACCAAAGAGAGATAAAAGCAAAGGTATCTTGATAACGTCAAAGAATTGAGGGCAACAACCTCTTTCTACTCCAAAAAAATTCAAAATTTGTGATTAATTCTAAATTAAATTTATTGTTGAAAAGTAAACTTGAAGATGCTCTTGCTTCAATAAATTTAAATTCAATCCAATACTTAAGCCATGGAAAATGTGCCTTCAAAGTTGAATGACCAAGACTGCTCTAGCAGACAATCTCCCTCCACTTGAAAATTGATCAAAATTTAAATTTATCTTCAAATTTAAAGAAATTTATGCCATTAGAAGCTTAGCTTGAAGACTCACTTATTATTTAAATTTCACAATAATATAATTAGGAGGCATTGAGAAATACCTTTTCAAAGATGGGTGAATTGAATTGCCAAGGCAGCCGACCGCCCAACACTCAAAATTCTACCAAAATTTTGCCCTTAGTCAAAATTAAGCAATCCTTATCTTGTTGGAAAGCTAACACTAAATTCTACAATTATAAAATAATTCACATCAAAACTCAAAAATTTGAATGATTGATTGAGAGAGATCAGAGGCTCTTAAATCCTTAGAATATTTGGGAGACCAAAGAAGCTATCTACCACAATGACCTATGTCTTAAAACTCAATGACCATCATTTCCTACTCAAGATCCATGCATATGCAACCTCAAGTTTTTAGTGAGCTTAAAAATAAAAAATAAAAATAAAATTAGGATTTAAGGCCAAAATTTGGTATGGCTTTGCTCTTCATCAAAAGATGAGAGAGAGAGAGAGAGAGGGCTTGGAGAACCAAGCCACTTGTATACAATTGAGTGGTGGATTGTACAAGGATGGCCACATCTCCACTCTAGATCTCTAAGATCTCTAATGTAGATCTACGGCCTTCATTCATTCAAGAGCCAATTTCGTTACTAAGGTTGGTAGTTCTTGTAAGTAGTCAAGAAAAAATATTTTGATAAATCTAACTTTACCATTGTATTTAAAACACCTTTTTATGATAAAATCAACTACTTGCATGCCTCAATCCATGCTCAATTGCAAATTTTATGAAAGTTTTTACCTACAAGGATCTTGGCAATTCTTGTAAAATCCTTCAAAATGAGAATTTCATTGCTCCACTTGTATTTTGAAAGAGAGGGTGCTGATCTTATTTTCTTCACTCCAAAAAATGAATTCGGTGCCACCATTACATTAAAAAGGCTTCTATTAATTAGATGAACCACTATGCTCCTTGAATTTATTGAATTAGATAAAATTTCAAAATTGTCATTGCTAAACTTCACTAAATCTTTTAGAAAATTATAATTCTAACTCATTCTAAATCATGTGAAATGATTATAGGTGAATTCATAGGCTTTTAGTCAACTCTCATAGTAGTGACTAATAATCTCTAAATTATTAAAATTAACAAAGTTACTATTTTAATTTTATAACTATTATAATTTTGATCCTAATTAACCTTATTCAAGGAATTAGGCTATAATTTATACCATCAAAGGTTGCAATCCTAAAAATTCTATAAAAATAAAATTTACTTATATAAATCATAATTTAACATGCTCAATTATTATAAAATAAGAAAATAACAAAACTTTAAAT